AAAACAACTCACAGCCAGTCCAAGCAAATGTATATATATCCTTGGCAGTGCACTGACCGGCCATGCCAAAGCTTGTACGAGTCGCATCTAATGAGTCATGGCTTGTGACGTCATCTCCTGGCACCACTATTCCTTTCTGAGCGTGCGCATGGCCCCTCTGTACATTGTCATCCGATGCCTGGATGCTGGGGCGGCTTGGCTCGTGTGTCGACAGGGAGGGCTCTGCATTCCCACTGTGCCACGCGTGCCAGAGGTTCGCCACCACTGCGTTAGGGTTGGAGGACATGTCCCCGCTTGGCCACCCAATGCACCAGATGACTTTTGGACCGCCAATGCTCAGCCTAAACTATTGCACAAGACAGACAGAACCGAGAGGACATCTGGAGGCCTCCGCATGTATTAAGGCAGCCTGCTTAAACTGGGGACTTCTAGATAGAAACAGAAACAGAGTGAGTTAGAAGGGGCCTCCTGCGCCATCTAGTCTGACCCCTGGCTCCAGCCGGCTCTGCTCATGGCATGCCTACCATGTGCATGTCCAGCCTGTCCTTGCACACCCGCACCGATGGGGCCTCAGCCACCCCCCGTGGGAGCCCATTCCACACCCTCGGGGTCCTGACTGTCAGGAAGTGCTTCCTGGCATCCAAATGGAACCTGGGTTCCCTGAGCCTGGCTCCGTTGGAGCGCGTCCTGCCCTCCTCCCCAGGGGAAAACAGGCCTTGATCCACCTCTGCGTGACACCCCCTCACGTACCTGCATGCCGCCAACAGACCCCCTCGGAGTCTCCTCTCCTCCAGGCTGACGGGTTGGATGGCAACCCCAGCAGGCCCTCGCCAGCCACTGCAGTCCCCACACAGCCGGGGGTTCCAGAGTGGGCACGGCTGCGTTGGGGCCAGCAGCTCAGGCACAGCCTCCATGCAGGGTCCCTGGGATCCACGTGCTACATCAAGCTGAGCAAATACACGCCTGCAGTGGGAAAGGAAGCCACTGTCTTCATTCTGACAAACAGAATCGAACTTAATGGTTAATTCCAGCTCAGCTGCACCTTCCTGCACCTTTAGCTGCCTGCCCTAAACAGCGCTGACCGAGCGTTAGTCTTAGGATGCGTGTCTTGTCAGAAAAGAGCCCGATGACTCTCATCATTCGCCAACCAGCATGGGATGTTTTCCTGCCTCAACACAGTCGGGATCCCACCCTCAAGGAGGGGGAGCGAGCCTTCGGATAAGTGTCGGTTCCCTGGTTCTCCCTTTCAAGAAAAAGAATTTATTATGAAGTTGCTTCATGTGGCAGAAGAAAGGCAAACAGTGAATCCAGTGTGAAATAGCTGCACTGGAATGCATGGTTTTATTTATTTATTTATTTTTCGATTTATATCCTGCCTTTTTCCTACAAAGGGCTCAAGGCAGCTTACATCATTCTCCTCCTGCATCTTATCCCCACAACAACATCCCTGTGAGGTAGGTTGGGCTGAGAGTCTGTGACTGGCCCAAAGTCACCCAGTTGGCTCCATGGCCGAGCGGGGACTCGAACCCAGATCGTCTGAGTCCCAGTCCCATGCTCTAACCACTACACCACACTGGCTCTACATCACACTTCAGTGATGAAGCTTGATCAGTTTCCTTGGTCCTAAAGAGAGACGGCTGTTTCTGGCCTGCTGCACTCGTTCCCTGGCTCGGCTATATTCAGTTTTTTTGGAAGCACCTGTTGACGCTGCCATGAATGGATGCTGCGTTTATTTTGCCGTTGCAGTTGAACTGAATTGTCCCCGGATGTGCCTTTTGCATTTGATAGGACTCTAATTTTTATACGTGCCCCTGTAGATAACGCTGACTCTGTTCAATGGATGCTTATGCCAGAGCAGGTGCCTTAGTGGCGAAGGTGCTCGAAGGATCCTGCCCATCTGAGAAATCCGAAAGCATGTTAGATGGCGCAGGGCATTTTCAGGGGCTGCCAGTCATCTCTGCGGCTTCCCTCTAAGGGGGATCCATGTCCCCATTCCTGGACTGAAGTTGCGGGAGCCATGGCTGTGCAGGAGGAGTTTCTCTGAAGTGACCTGGGGGATCCCTGAGGTGGAGGTACGATCCCCATTGCCAATCTCCAGCAGGCGACAGCCTGAATACATATTTGGCAGACGCATATTTGAAAGTATTTCCACAGACAGGAGGCGCTGAACCCAACGAGGGAAGGAACCCCAAGTTGATTTTAAGGTGTAAATATTGACTCCTGGGTTATATTCTTGCCCTCTGGTCTATTTTTACATTGGATAGTGTCGTAACGGTATCTTAGGTTTATTTCCTTGGAAGCTAACTTGAAGACCTGCTGGCAGGCAGAAAGGTTTTGAATAAATGATTACATAAACAAACTACATTCAATGCCACGTTTTCCCCCCAGCAATCCTGAAAATGTTTGTTTTGCTAAGTTCAGTAGGGCAAGGGATCTCAGAGAGAATTCCTGGCCCCAGCGCCCAATTTTGATGCCCAGGGTTGACTGAGGAAATGGCTGTAAGCTGCTAAAAGGTGGGGGTGGGATAGGTTTGCACTGCAAAGATATCCCGAGAGTTGCCCAAAGCCAGCCTCTTCCCTCCCCGAGAAGGACACTTTGGACTGCAGTGCACATCATCCCCAGCCAGCATGGTCAATGAGAATGGGAGTTGCAGTCCAATGCCTCTGGAGAGCGCCAGGCTGATGAAGGACTTTCAAGGTTTTGTAGTGCCTCGGTTTCCTAGGAAAACAAGTCTTGAGTGTTAGGCCGGTTCAGCATTGGTGGTGTGGACATGAATCCAGCACTGGGCATTAATGTTTAGGGGATCCTGAAGAAAGTCTTCCCACTCCCGGCCTCCACCCTCACGGCAGGCCCCACCAAAATCTATTTACATCCCACCTTTTTCCCATTGCAGAGCTCAAGGCAGTGGCCTGTGGTTCCCAGGTGGTCTCCCCTCCAGGCTCAGGCCACCCCCAGCCCTGCTTAGCTTCCACATGGTGGGTGCCTGACATGCCTCCAGACCGTAATCTGGGCCCTTTGGATGGCTGCCTTCTGCTGCAGAGGGAAGGGGGCTGGGGTGCCAATAAGAATCAGTGCACATCCTTGGCCCCAGCTCCCTGCATTACCCGCCCCCCAGCACACCCCTTCCTTCCCCCCGAAGCCAGTTGTAAGCTTAGGAATGACGGCCAGTAACACTCTTTCCCTGCCAGCTGCCAGTGGAGAGGGGCAGAGGCTGATACTCACAATCCTCCCATGGCCCCCAGAAAACTCTGGGAGGCATAGGTCCGCACCTACAGCAGTGTTCCCATGCTCCCCAACCTGGCCTTCCATGCTCCTGCTGTCCCCAGAACCACGGTTGCAAGAACTCCATGGGGGGGCGGGGGGGGACGCTTTGCCTCTTTGTCTTTGAATAACAACAAGCCAAAAACAACACCAGAAAGACAGCAGGTTGCCAAGTTGGTTCATTTTGGTTTTCTTTTTCTCGAATTATTCTCCTTTTAGAAAACAAACGAAACAAAAACCAAACAAAAAAACAAAAACAGAGCACATGAAAAACAAGAACTCCAAAAAAGGAAAATAAAATGTACAATTTAATTTACTTCCCCTTTCTGAGCATCAACACCAATAATTAATTAATAATTAAAACATCCAGTTGGAAGAAAGAAAGAAAGAAAGAAAGAAAGAAAGAAGGAAGGAAAGAAGGGTTACGGGGGATAAACTCGAAAGCAAAACCCTGCTTGGAACGTTGTCTTGCTTTGAAAAGAAGTCCATGGAGGGATAACCATGCCCATAGCTGGCTTTCGGCCCCCAAAGAGTGGTGGGGTGCGTACGAACAGTGCGTGTCGTCTGTGTGTGGTTTGGGTGGGGGGACAGAGAGCGCAGACCCCGACAAGGAAACGTTTACCCCCGGTCTTCCCCTCCCCACGTGGCTCCTCCGAGGGGTCTGGGGTGCCCGCCTCGCTCCTCCTCTCCAAAGGCTGGCGCAGCAGCCAGCGGGGGGGCCGTTCGCGTCAAAGTCCAGCTTGCTTTTCGTGATCCGTGGAGCAGCCCCTTTGCCCCGGCAGGGACTGACACACTGCCGGGAGCCCGACATGTGTGGCTGCGTGTTGTCGAGAAGACCCTTCCTTGGGCAAAGGAGTTGGGGGGGGGGGCAGGAACCGTGTGCAGGGACAAAGCAAAGAAGTGGGCGCTCCCTCGGTGTTTGGTCCATCCGGGTGGGGGGTTGCTCCCTCTGGTCAGTGTGCGGACAGTAGCCGTGCGTCGTGGCTGTCGGGGTGAAGGGGCGGAGAGGGAGGACGGTCCGTGGCACGTTTTGCAGAGTGCTGGGGAGGTCAAGAAGAGCGGCACGCCGGGCCTGATGCACCACGAGTCTCGGGTTCGTAAACCGGGTGGGGTGTGCTTCCTGCATCCCTTGCCAAGTCTGGAAACCTGAGGAAGGCCAAGACGAGGTAGGCAGGGAAGGGCACCCGGGCTTGGCTTTGCTGTGCCCACCGGCCCCCCAAGGAGAGCCGCCTCCCACCCCGAGGATGGCACAGGTCCGTGCAAAGGTCGAGGGAGCCACCACTTAAACCTCCCCACAATGCCCCTGATGCGGTGCCACTCCTGAGCACTGTGGGAAAATTTAAAGGGGGGCCCAGGATAGGGGACCAGGCAGTGGCTCCAGGGCTTGGACAGCCGTGGGGCAAATCACCCTCCCCCTTCCTCTCGGCCAGGGAGCAGGGGCAGAACATGCGCTTCTCCTCCTCCTCCTCCTCTCCACTGCTGAGCCGAAGCTGGGGGCAGGCAGACCAGCAGCAGAGAAGCGGAGGGGAGTTCCCGGAGGGCTCTTGCAGTGGGCCCCTGCCGGCGCGTGGCCCTTGACGGGTGCCCCAGGATGCGAACCCTCGGCGCCTGCCCTCGTGGCTAGGTGCTGACGCCCAGCCCAGCTTCAGCCTGGCTTAAGGTAGCTTGAGGAGCAGCCGAGAGAACCCGCCACCCGCCACAAGCTCCACGATACTCACGTCCCCTCTGGTGTCGTCAGCGAGTTCCGGGCATTACATGTAGTGCCACTGCCCTTCCATGCCCATCGCCATGCCCATCGGTCCTAAAGCAGAAGAGGAGAACGCCCAGCTCAAAGCCCTGAGGCACCACCGGCGCCCCGGCCCCAGGCCTGCCTCCGTGCGAGGGGTCGGACCGTCTTGGGGGAAGCACTGCAGGTCTCTGGGGACGGCAGCGCCTCGGGGAGCTGCCCCGTGCAGGCTTAGGCAGACCACAGTCCAATGAGGCTCGGCAATCCTCAGCCAGCTTCGGGACTTCTACTCCACCGGGGGGTTAGCAGAGGGCGGCCTGTGAGCTGCCCAGCGTCTGTGGGGACAGAAGCCCTGCTCTTGCAGACAGTGAGCCGGGAAATTTCGAAGGCCCCATCCAGCTGCAAAGCCCCGAGTCAGCCCCCGAGAACCAGTCTTCTTACTGAGGAGTCCCAGCTAAAGTTCTGTGGAACCCTGGAGCAAATCAGAACAGAGACTGGGTCACAGGGACGAGGCGGGCTCGCGCGGGAGGGGCTCTGAGGAGGAGGAGGAGGAGAGCAGGATGAGCGCGGCAGAGCATGCAGCCCTCGGTGTGCTTGTCCTCCGGGCCAGCAGCCCTCGCCTCCACTCTCCGCTTACCTGGGGGACGGATCGTCATGTGCTGCTGCCCGTCCATGACATAGCCTCCCATCGGCTGCCCGTCAGGGCTGTACGGCGCGCCCTGACCTGGGTGGGAGAGAGGAAGAGGAGCGCCAGCGTCCCCCTGCTGGCATGCCATGCAGACCTCGGGAGAGGCAAAAACGGAGGCGGAAACCAGCCCTCACGTGCTGGCGGGGAGGGGAGGCGGAGGCCCAGGTATTCAGCTGGACTGGAGGCACGGAGCGCTGAGGGCCGCCAGGAGCCATCTGGGCCCCACCCAAGAGAGGGACCGTCTGTGTTGCGAGGGCGACAGACCCCGGGATCCGCGGCTGCAGCCCACCACAGCCCTCCCCTCAAGGAGCCCCCGTCCCCCTCCCAGCATCCTACCTGTACGATTTGACTGGTCAATCATGGGCTGCACTATGCGCCGCCTGGCGTTGATAAACCTGCAAGAGACCGGAGAAGGGAGGGCCTCAGGGGGGCCCCGCCAGTCGGACCAGAGGCCGGTGCAGGCCAGCGTTCTGCCCTCTGCAAAGCCCACCAGGAGGCGGGTGCGCAAGCACACCCTCCTGCCCATGTGCCACAGCAGTGGTGCCGACGGGCGGGCTCCCTGTGGCCAGTGAGAAGCATTACCAGTTATTCACTTGCAAGATAGTCAGTCCCGTGTCCTGAGCCAGCTGCTTCTTCTGCTCTTCGGAGGGATAGGGGTGCTGCCCAGGAAAAGGAAAAGCGGTCAGGTTCTCGCTCTGGCCCCACTTGGAGACTTTCTGGAAGCTCTCCAGGACTTTCCTCAACCCCCATTTAGAGAGCGGGGCGGAGAGAGGGCTTCAGGACACGCAGCTGGCCCTCAGCAATGAGCGGAAGGGAAGAGAAATATTAATTGTTTAATGGCCACACATAGCTAAAGTGAGCCCCGTAATGCTGCTAAGTCCAGGGTTGAAACATACCAAGTTGTGACTCCAGGAGCACAAACTCCACCATGACCTGGCTCGGCTCAGGACAGCACGCCGAGGGAGTCTCTTATTTATGCCAGCTTCACAACACTCCTGTGAGGTAGGTTAGATTGAGAGAAAATGGCTTGCCCATGCTGCTTTCAGGGCTCGAATTGCGGGCGGAGCGGCTACGGAGAGGCAGGAGGCCACCGGCTCTGTTCTGGTCAGTCCACGTCCCCACAGTCTCCCAAAAACAGCAGTTGGTGGAGCATTTCAAGACTGATGTGTGGGCGAATTGAGCAGCTCTGCCCCCACATCCTGAGTGAGGATTTGAATCTACCCCAGGCAAGACAGTGCATCCACGAGGCCATTTTTTAAATCTTCCAGGCAGGCAGAAATTCTACCAATTCTACACTTGCAACCATGCACTGCCAGGGACAGCTTCCCCAGCTGAACTCCTGCCTGTTAGGCTAGATGTCAAATGCATAGGAGGTAGACAAACTGCAGGAGTTTTACTCCTGGCTCTAACCCCAAGAATGCCCCAGCCATGGGAAAGTTTACAAATGCTCGATGATAGTTCAATTTTTTTAAAAAAAGTTGCAAGCACAAAGATTCTGCATTAATTCTGAGCCTTCCTTTCCCCCAGTCCTTGCCGGTCAAGCCACAGTGACCTGCCACCAAGCCAGCTTCTGGGAAACCTCCCTCTGCATCCACTCCAGACAAAGGCATTCTGTTGTCTGTTTCTTTGTATCAGTTTCTCCTCAGATCCCCCCTCCACCTTTGGCCGACTGGATCGCACCCACTTTTCCACTATGATACTGGGCGATCCTCGTGTCTGTGACTCCCAGCTCCATCTGCACAAGAGCCAGCTGGTCCCATCTGCCACAGACTCCCTTTTGAGGGCTGTGCCATTCCAGGCTGCTGGGTAACTATATGTTTGACTACTCCACTGCCGAAAAATGTCCCCCCCCCCCGCCCCAAAACAGAATCTTGCCAGAGAGAAGATTCCAATGAATGCAGAGCGCTCGTTCCCCCACGTTCAAGGATGCGCACGGCCCACTCTCAGCGACCGAACATGGGGAGCCGCGGATTCTGCCCATCATATAAACGGGGTATCACATCTGTTTTCTTCTCGGGTTTCTCCCTATGGCTACGGCATCTCCCCCCCACCCCGTGGGCACAGGGAGCAGGGTCTGCCCTGGCAGTAGGGGGCATCTGCAATCTGGATCCAGTCCCTGGGCCTACTCTAGAGCAAGCAGCAGCAGCCTGCTGCTGTTGCTGGATGCAAATCTCAGGTCAGGCCTGGCTTGGTCCTCACCTTCCTTCGCACGAGTGCTACGAACACAGCATCTTTCTTTTTCAGTTCCCAAGCAGATGTTCAGACGCAGAGTTTGCCTCGTGCTTCCTTCTTTTGTCGGGCTGGGGACCCCGCCACCCCCACCCCACCCCCGCTGCAGCCTTTTAGCTGCCAGTCCAAATGATGGATGAGCTCGGTCCCTGCCTGTGGGTCACAGCCGGCCCTCCATGGGGCCCCACTCTGACAGCCCAGTGACGGATGAGCAAAGGCCATGCTTGGCCTCCCAGGTCACGAGGAGCCACTCGGACACTCCAGTGCCACCCCTCCTGAGGTCACCGCTTGGCTGGGCGTCTCCCCCCACTGGGGCATCTTCTGGAACCAGTGCTGCCAGGATCAATGCACCCCATCACACCTACCTACCAGGGACAGGCTGGCATCCTGTTAAACTGGGAACCCCATTTTTCCTTTTCGGAAAACCTTGGGAATCTCGCGAAACACCATTCAACTGATCTTCCACGAGCCCAGAAGGCAAACATCTGCAGGCCAACTGGACGGCCATGTTCTTTATGCCCATTTGGAGTGGCGTGGCTTCTTCCCACAAAACCGGCTGGGGGGGGGCAGGGATGCAGAGCTCCCCCCGCTCCCTTTGCACCACTGCAGTTCCCAGAGCCCCCAGGAGGCGCAAAGGACTGTCCAGCTTTGCAGAGCTTCACCTGCAGTGTCGCTACGCAAGTCCTACTCTTCGGAATAATGGCCCAGCGTCGACGTGATCACAGCCCGGCATACAAGTTGAGAACTGGCTCTGGAGGAATCCTGGGCCGTTGCTGAATTGTGAACTGCTGATAAGTGTGAACACTGCACTGTGGTTTCACTATGGGCAGCTAAACAGAAACAACCCAGTTCACAACCCAGTAACAAACCACCGTGCAGGCTTGGCACAGAATGAAAAGCCACAATGGAAAAACCGCCCGCAGTTCAATGGCAATCCGCGATTCGACCGACACTCAGCCTGTGCTCTGGGCCATCGTTGCCACATGGGCTTTCTGTTGCAGGATCGCTGCCCTCCCGCTGGGCGCAGTTCATGTGCAGCCCCTCTCTGTAGGCCGCAGGCCTTTTATAGGGAGCGAGCGACAAAGGGGGGGGTGCAGGTAAAGGAGCAGGTATCCTGTGGCTGCAAGGTCACCCAGGCCCGGGCTCCGAAAAGCGCCCCCAAAGTGGCGAGGCTGGGAAAGGCCCCCACCCACGCCCAGAGCGGCTGCAAAGGACACACGAGGCCACCAACCAGCACGCACTCTGCCTCTGCGGACACGCAGGGAGCATCAGCGACATGTAAGCAGAAGCACACCCCCTCCTCACGGTGGGGAAGGCGGTGAGCGAGTGACCGCTGGGGCTGCTTGTGGGGGGGGGAGCGTCACGCTCTCTGCCACTGCCCCCTTCCAAGGCAAGTTTGTTTGTTTGTTTAGAATTTGTGTACGCCGTCCCATCGCATAGCCTCGGGACAGCTTACATAAACAAACAAACACCACACAAAAATACAGATAAAATCCAGGTTCACCCTGGCTGCAGAAGTTTAGCATTAAGGCCGACTTGGCTTGGACTGTCCTTTGCCCAGAGTTTGCCGTCCAACCGAGGACGGCCCTCTGTGAAGCGGACCCCACGCCACGGTCACCGCTGCCCGGAGGCGGCGCTGTGAGCCGGACCAGCCAGAGGTCAGGCTTCCGATGCCTCCGGCTCCGATGACGGGTTAGGCGTGGGCCAGGAGACGGAGGTCTGGCCCCGCTGGACTCTTTGTCATGGGTGGGTTTGGACTCTGGGGACAGGAACAAACAGCGGCGTGTGACTCGAATGCTGCTGTTTCTGCTCCCACCACCCCAGTAAATGCTCCAGCTGCCAGTGCTGCTACTCAGCACTACTAGCAATGACAAAGGCTACATACATATCAGTGTACTATGAGTAGTATAGTGCAGTGGTTAGCGTTTTAGCCTGGGACTCAGGAGATCCAGGTTCAAGCCATGGAGCTCACTGGGTGACTTTGGGCCAGCCGCTGACTCCCAGCCTAACCCACCTCACAGGGCTGTTGTGAGGATAAGATACTGTAAGAAGGAAGGAAAAACGGTGGGATATCAATACAATAATTAAATAATCTCTGGCCACTCCTGAGTCAGCTCCTCACCTTCATGCCTTCTCCACTTCCATAACCCAGCCTTCTCTAACGCAGCTCCCTCCAAACGTTTAGGACTTCAACTCCCATCAGCCCCAGTCAGCACAGCGGGGATTCTGAGAATTTATTTATTACATTCACATCCCGCCTTTTTTCCTTCCAAGGAGCTCAAGGCAGCTGCTGCCACATCTGGATTTTTCCTTTTCAGACTTTGTGCCCTCCCATCAAGCTGCTCCACCGGCCCAGAGCAGGGCGGGAGCCAGCTTGCTTCCCAGGGAAGAGGACTGGGAGGGAGGCCACCCGGACACGCCTTGGGTTGCCATTCTCCTATGCAGCTCCAAGAGCAGATCTCCCCAACCTGGACGGCAACACCCATTATTCTCTATGCCAGAGTGGGGAGGCTGAGTGAGGGGGTCAAGCTGGGGAGCCTGGGTTCGAATCTTCATCTTTTTCCTGACGTGCTTTGGCCAAGTTGCTATCTCTCAGGTCAGCCCTACCTCGCAGGACTGTTGTGAGAATTGTGGATGCGTGCACATGCGGGGAGGGGGTGCAGAAAGACCCAGGCATGTTGCCTCCCAACGCTCCGATTGGAAAAAAGTTAGGAAGCAAAAAAGGTGCAGAGGAGGGAGGGAGGGAGGGATGGAGAATGCCCTGAGCGATCCCGTGCGGAGCAAAGCCAGGAATTGCTTGGCCCTGTCCTGGTGACCCGCCATGTCCTTTGGATCTTCACTGCAGATGCTGAGCCTCCAAAGCCCCCTTTCACCACAGCCCCCCCTCGCTCCCTGCCAATGCGTTCAGGGTAATTGGCTAGAATTGATTATCCTTCACCAGCCTCTAATAGCTTTATAGCTCCTTCAATTAGCCACTAATTGGCCAGCGCTCATTAACTCGCCTTTGTTTAACTAACCAGGGAGAGACCCTGCCTAATTGCCTGGCAGCACAGAGGCGAGAGAGAGGGGAAAGGAAGAAAGGCCGGGTGGCGGCAGGCATGGAAAGATGCCCAGGGCCAGCCAGGGCTGGAGGCAGGGGGACACAAGTGCCCCGAGGCTTCCAGGGCCAGGGCAGGAAAATGCTCCCCAGATACCAGGGGCTGCTGCCATCGTGCATGCACACCCACTCCGGGCCAGGACCCACGGCATGCCCTCCCTCACTGAGGCCGGCTTGGCTTGGTCCCTGTTTTCCCAGGACTTTAGTTCCCTGGATAGAAGTGGGACCATTTCCACTAAGACCTTCCACAGCCTCGTCCGCAGCTTCGAACTCCGGCATTTTGCCCAAACTCAAAATGGAGGGAGGGGCTACCTGCCTTGGATCGGGGCCCCTTTATTCAAGAAGGGGCAGCGGCTGCTTAGCATTTTGCACCCCCTCCCCCCCAAGAATGTTCCACTAGTTGTCATGAAAAGATGGCTCATTTGTCTTGGAGTTCAGTCCTTGGTGGCCCTCCAGCATTTTGGCCTTCAATTGCCAAGAGCCACCCTGGCTGGGCGTAATAGAGGCTGCAATTTGGAAGCGGCAAGTTGGGGAAAGCTGCTGTAGGCACACAGAATCCGTTTTCTAGCAGATGCAGAACACCGACTCCCATCAGCCCTTGCTCTTTACGTCCTATTTCCCATCCCTCCTTTCCTAACTATGAACAGGTCCAGAAGCGCTTTTCCTGCCACGTTACCTTCTCTCCCTCTCTCATTCTTTTCCATTTGTTTGTTTTTATTACAGTCATATATCACCCCCTAGTCCTACTGGGGCAGTTCACATCAATGAAAACCCGAAAAATACAACCGAAGATACAATATAAACATTTTAGGAGTTTAAAAGTACAATATGAATTTAAAATTAGATTCTGTGTCCTCTCTTCCTGACATCGCACCTTCCCTACAGCAGTTCAGGTTCTTACCGATAAGTGTTGGAATAGCCACGCGCGCATAATGTTTGTGGCCACTTTGGGAAATATCCCTCGTTTCTTGTTCCGCTTTTTGTCCCGGTCTAAGTCGTCATCGTCTCCCGTGCTGGGGGAGGCCACACTGTTATCTAGGCAGTCTCCTGAGAGTAGAGTGGAATGGGAGGGAGAAACAGAACAGGGAGAGAGAAAACACCATACTGAAAGATCAGAAAGTGGAGTCAGCCAAATATTAGATCTAACGAGGATGAGTCTGTCACAGTTCTGTTAAAGCAGACTTCCCCAAGCTGGTGCTGTCCCGGTGTGCTGCCTGGGAGATGGGAGTAGAACACATTGATGACTTGGTACCAATCTGGGGAAAGCTGAGTTTGAAACAATTTGGAATCGTACCATATGTGGCCACTAGAGGGAGACATGGTATCATGCTCTGAAGAAAGCTGGCCCTCTAGAGGCAAGAGGATGAATTTCACAGTTTGTGACAGTGTCGTCAGTTTAAAAAACTAGATTTTTAAAAATGTAAATTATTTCCAGGCCTCCATTAAGGGAAGAAGCTTCTCAAGGCAAGGTCTTGATTTAAAAATGCAATGCAAATTGGTGCAAAACACAGGAAAACAATGAATAAATGTTAAAGAAAATACTGTAAAGAGCAATACCACCGATAAAACCTGCAGTGCGCAGACTGGGGGAAGGACAGCAAGAACAAGTAGGTCCTCAAAGTCTGCCTGAAAACCTGCACAGAAAGGGCCTGCCAAATCCCCAGTGAAACTCAATTCTAGATGGATGGGGCCACCACTGAGAAGCCGCTGTACTCACTGCCCTTGACAGTGGACAGGTGAGAAGGGCTTCTGCTGATGACCTACAGGCAGGTGTAGGCTGATCGCTCCCATGCAGGTGAGTGATGTCTCCATGGCAGCTTCCAATCAGAACAGCAGAGGCTCTGAACCATGGACAGCTCATTTCCCAGTCCAGGTGTGACCCAGGTAGAACACCCCACCTCACCAATATTGGCGCCAGCAGCCAGGGCCAGATAGGGAAGAAAGTTTCTTAGGCCCATGCTATTTGCTCTTCCCTGGTCCTCTTCCTCACTTCCTCTTCTTTATATTTGCTGCTGACTGATATATCTGAGCCTGGCCCATCTGGGATATTTTAGGCAGGAATCCTTCCTACCCTATCACAAGGTGCCGGGAATTGAACCCACAACCATCCACATGCAAAGCAGGCATCCTGCAGCCTTCCCTGGGATCCACACGCATCGCTTCCTTGCTTTGGGTTGTCGTGAGTATCTTGAACCCAGTCGAGATAAAGACCCCTGGTCACCAGCCCACCGGGGGGGGGGCAGTGCCAGTGAAAAGCTCCAAGAGAAAAACAAAAAGGGAGAAAATGCACATGCCCCTCTGTCTGTCTGTCTGTCTGTCTGTCTGTCTGTCTGTCTGTCTGCTAAGGACATGCCTTTTTGTAAGAAAGGTGGGAGGAAGGCTTCTTTCTGAGTTCTGAAGAAAACCTCAGGCAGAGACACTCGAGGAGAGGAGCGCCCGAAGAGGCAGTCCAGGGGGGCAAGGGGCTGGCTAATCCAGGGGGGTCTGATGCTGCCGAGATGGTCAGCCCTCCTGGACCCGTATTTCAGCAAGTGGCCCTGGACAACAGGGTGATGGGGCAGGTGGCCTTCCAGAGATTCGGGGCTCCAAAGCAAAGATTCAGGGCTGCAGCCCAAGAGGGTCAACTTCCAACGCCACTTCAGCAACCCACAGTTCACAAGCCGAGAACAACCCACGGTTTCCCTTCATGGGCTGTTTGTGCTTCACAAACCATGACTTGTCTGGAAAGAACAATAAAGCTGTGCTTCAACAACAGCTCACACTCAGTCCTCACATGTGGGTTATTGTGTCGCCCTAAGGAGTCAATGTCTTGCAAATCCCATCAGCCTGAGCAGACCACGTCCAGCTACCCAGGAGAAACAGAGCAATGCATGGAGCCGGAGGGGGCTCAGACAGGGAGATCCAGCCTCCCCGAACCTGGTGCCCTGCAGATGGTTTCCACCGCTATTCCCATCATCCTTGGCCAGAAGTGGTATTGCCTAGAAATGATGGGAGTTGCTGTCCGGCACACCTGGAGGGCTGGAGAGTGTCAAATATCAGCTCACCTGATGCTCATCAGGTGAATTGTGCCTGTCTCTCTTCCCCACTGTCTCTCTGCCAGCCTACCTCACAGGGTTGCTGTCGGCATAAAAAACTGCAGGGAGAGCGATGCAGGCCATTCTGGGCTTCTGGGAGGAACGGCAGTCTGAAAAATCTAATAGATGACAGAGTGTCCAAACTTTCCACAGCCCCTGCCCCCTGGACTCTTGCCTGTTCGCCCCACCTTGTTTCCATGGGGGCTCCGGCAATTTAGAAGAGGAGCTCCTACCTCCTGGGAGTGCTCAGCAAACGGGGCGAGACTGGCGCACCCCCCAACACCCCTGCCATCCTCGCTGCCCCTTCCTCGCCTGCCAAGCACAAAATCCTCGCTCGCCTCCTCCCCCCCCACCCCCCCACCACTGCCAATCCTACCCAGCGGAACAGCTGCTGCGCTTTTATACCCTCCGGCTAAGAGGCAGCTTAAAAGCCCAGCCCGGAGGGGGACGTAAATTATGCATCAAAGACCGCGCTGCTGTCGGGGGCTTCAAGCAGCCATCGCCCAGGTCCCCGCTTGATCGCTCACCCCAGCCCCCAAAATGCAAAACTCGGTCCACCCCCACTCTCCTTCGCTTCCAGAACTCCTCTGGCCCAGGAGGAAGAAGGGAGCAAACGGCAGTTCCGAGCAATATCGCAGGAGCCCTTTGCCGAATAACAGGACCACGGGGCGAAAATTAATGAATTAACAGCAAACAATGGAAAGCGATGAAGAGTGTCAGCACTGGCTTTTTGCAGGCAAGCGGAAAGGCTGCAGGTCCAATGGCGGGAGCTGCATCACCGCAGTGAGGTGTGCACGAGCGCAGCAGGCCCTCACCAAGCACTGTCCGGGGAAAGGGCCATATTCGCACAGGTTTTATGCCAGATCTGGGGTTCTGTGGGCCCAGAATCTGGTGCTACCCGTGTGGATTGTTCTAAATTATACTGTTAATTTGTATTCTATTATTCGTTATATTATTTTAACGAAGTTTATTTATGTCTGTGAGCTGCCCGAGGCTTCGGCAAATGGGGCGGCATAGAAGTTTACTAAATAAACAAACAAATAAATAAATCTATCTAATAATAAATCTTATTATTTTACTAGGTAGGGAGAGAAGCGGATGTGCTTCAACTTTATCTTTTGCCACATTTCTTAAAGCAAGAAATCCTGCCTCTAAATCAAGAAAGACAAGAGTCACTGAAGCACAATCTAATTAAACTCAAATAAATGTGCACACTACCCAAAACTGAAACCCTTTGAGATTATTTGCAATTTAATAAATGAAAAGCTACCACTAATTGTTGAAAGATGATCTCTCTTTTTTCGCTTTCCTGTTCGCTACTGCAGTCACGTCCTGGAACCAAACTAGCCTCCGAAATTAAACAGGTGATGGCCTTCAACTGCTTCTCTCATGATTTAAATGTGTCCTTCACTCTCATGGTTAGTCTTCGCTGATGAATGCAGCTCTGTTGACTAATCTCTTGGTGAAAGGTTGAAGCCCTAAGAGAAACGTGCATCTATCTGTCCATCTGTCTCTCCATCCCTCTCTCTCCACAGCTTTTCCTCTTTTGACAGATAGGAAAATGAGACTTAGAAACTGTGTCTTTCTAAAGGCCACTCAAGCAAAACTTGGCCGTGGGACGAGAAGGAAGAAGTGGCTGAATCCTTGGACATTTCTCCACCAGATCAAGGCCCAATACAAATGATCTTTTCTCCACAGCAAATTCTCCCTTTCCCCCAAGTGGCACAAGCTCCAACCGGTGAGCTCCCATGGTGTAGCAGCGTATTATGTTTACATTTTTAATTTATGATTATAATTATTTAATTTTATTGTTGTAAGCCGCCCTGAGGCTTCGGCGAATGGGGCGGCATACAAATGTTTTCATAAATAAATAATAAATAAATGTGAGAGTCTCTCCTGAGAGGCGGAGCGTTGTGTTCACCCCTGCCCCCAAATTCCAGGGATGCCCGCGTCCCCTGACCCAGGAGTCCGCCAAGGGCTGTTTACCTGACAACACGCCAGTTGCCAAGCTAATCACAAATGAGCTAAGGGAAAAGCTGTGCAGGAGTAATTGACCACATTTTGAGATGCTTCTGATCCAGTCCATTTCATTCCTGCACCTTTCCATCTCAGTGCAGAGAACAGCACAGGAGCTTAATGCACTTAGAAAAACACACAAACCCCAGTCCCAAAAAGAGGCTGCAATCCAATGTCTGCGACACGGGACTTACACTTAAAGTGGGCGTACATGACAGTGCGCTGCAAAACCGTCCCAGAGTCCCAGGACTGAGTAGTGTTCAAGTACCTGGGCGCATGCCTTGGCCGTCACAAGCACAATCCAGTCAAGGTGCCAGCAACTTTCACACCTCGCTTATGCCTTGGAATTTTTTCCTAAAGCAAAATTCAGAACAGATTTGGATGATCCTTCCTGCATCAGCAGAAGCATCAGGGGGATTTTGGCGCAAGTCAAAAACATTTTGATAGAAGATGTGAAATCTCCCGGTGGGATGGAGAAAGTGTTTCATCACCCGCAGTCACGTGTGCTTTATTTCGTCTTTTTGTGGGGTGCAGGTGGAGATGCCACAAAAACCCAGAAAGGCAATCCCGGGTTTACGACAGACCCCTTTTTAAAAACTAGGAACTGTCATGGTGCAGCATTCAGTGGAAGTGCACAGTGGAAGTGAGTCTGTAGGACTCGTACAAGGGACGGGGGTGGAATTTGCAGGGAAAACTTATAGATAGTACTGGGGTACACTTCACCCTTTCTATACCTACTGATTCTCCCCTGCAAATACTCCCCACAAGCAACACATCTGGAAGGTGAGTCAGGTCGAGAAGACGGCAGGTTGCATGGGGGCACGGTGGTCATGGGTCTCACCAACTACCCGCCATTGTGGGGAAGGGGAGGGGGAGGGGGAGGGGGAGGGGGGAGGCAGCTGCTTTCTAGAGCTGTCCCCAACCCCTCCTCTCCATCCGCTCTACTCCAGGAGAATCAGAGAAGCAGCCTTCCCGTGTCGAAGAATGGGCAGAAATGTGGCCTATGAAGCCAGGGAGGGGCATCAAGCCCCTTCCCCCCCCCCCAGCTCCGCTTTGCAAAAGGCCAGCGGCCCCTCCCTTCCCCATTCAGCAGGCACTGACCCTTGACCCCTGCAACATTGCCTTTCAGCTTGGAAGCGGGGAGAGGCCGCGGGAAGGGGGGGCGCCCTGGCCTGGCTTCTTTCTCTTCCTGCCATCATCATAAACGGGGCCTGAGAAGCCAGGCACAACGAAACGGAACCAGGTTGGTTGACTTCCAGCACAGGAGTAGAAAAGATATTCTCCTGGTTTGTGCACCGGCTTGGACTGGAGCAACTGGAATGCAGGTCTTTGTGTTCCGGATGCTGCCCCAGAAAAAGCGTCTGATAATGGAATCACAAAATGGTACAGTTGGAAAGCGCCACGAAGGCCGTCGGGTCCAACCCCCTGCTGTTGCAGGACACCAGTCCATCCCATCCCACTCAGACGCTGCAGCCAAGAAGCTGCAGAGAACTTGGCCAGACCCAAAGCCAGCGCTGGGCAGAGAGTGGGGCGTGGAGTCCAAAAGGTGCTGCAGGGCACAGAGAAGCCAGCAAGCTGAGCACAGATTCTGCCATGCTAAGCCCCTGCTCAAAGGGCTTATGTTCCACCTTCGACCCCTGTGGGGTTTATGAGAGGAAAGCAGGGATTGCGGAATGAATAAGGAAGGGAGAAAAGGCCTCAGCAAGTAAGTCAGCAGAACTAAGCTGCTTGTGCAAGGACCTCGCCAAAACGCCAAGGGAAAAGAAAGGCAGTCCACTCCGTTACCCCCACCGCGGCAAGCCTTTGCCCCCTCTCTGGGCCACCTTGCCTCCTGCTGGTGGGGCGCTGCCTTTTCCTCCTTCCCCACAGCCTGCCTGGCCTGCCACCTCTAAAGTCCAGACAGCCCTTCCAGGTTCTCCCAGACAAATCACTCCCCCCAGCCGCCGCTGCCCCGCTCCCCGCCTAGAGAATGACTTCTGCGCTTCGCAAGGTCCAACGAACCTGGAAAGATTCCATGGGGCGGCTTGCAGCTCGGCAGCCGTGACCCCCACAGTGACCCCCGCTTTCAGGCCGGCCAGCTCGCCTCCGCTCCTCCAGCCTTTCTCTCCCTTTCTTCAGTTGGTTGCCCCCATTCTCAGGGTATTTACGCAACAGATGGCAAGTGCTGGAATGCAGAGGCCTGTGTGTGTGAGGCCAAGCAACACTGCGTGTGCATGTGTGCGTGTGTATAAAACACACACACACACACACACACACACACACTAGAATTAGCACCAGCACCATGGTCGGCTTTCCATGGCGCATGGTACACAGATGTGCTGTGCATCCGTGCACAGCCTCCACACATGTGCAGGGAGAGGGGGAGCACGTGGACGGAGACACGGCTGCAACTTCCCCCGGGCTTTGGAAGCAGCGAGGAAACTGGTGTGAGCACACCCAAAGTTCCCCCGGCGAGGATTGGCTTGCAGTGCCTGCCGGGGAGACTACGAAGCCCTGTGAGGGGTGGAGGTTTTCTTTCCAAAATCTTCACTCTCGGGCAGCCTGGAACGCTTAGCTTAAGCCAGATGATCTCAGAACTCCGGTGCACGGGGAGCGTCCAGCACCAGATTGAACTTAATGCCCCTGCTAAGCTCAGCCGATTCTGCTTCATTTTAAGCCAGTGTTGGGGGCTGGAGTAGGAATTGAGGGCCTCCACTCGCATCTCCCCAGCCGAGGCCCTCAGGTCCCGGCCTTGGCCATTTGGCAAGGCTGGAGACACTGGCAGCCCCTCCCATCTTCAGCGGGCCTTCTTGCCCCGAGCCCTGTCTGGATGGCCCAAGGGTGGGATTCACCCATCTTCATCCTTGCCTGTCTTTCCCTGCTATGCCACATGGGAAAAACTATGTAGGATCCAGGATCTTGGAAAGGGTAACTGAATTATTATTATTATTATTAGAACATTTCTATGCCGCCCCTTGCCGAAGCCTTGGGGCAGCTTACAACACAATAAAATGCAATACAATACAAAAATAACAATATAAAATTAAAATTAATAATATACAATAAATAAAAAATAGAAACGAAATAAAAGAAGTTATAAAAGAAAAGTTATAAAAGAAAAGAAATCGCCCTGAATGATCCTCATGTTTGCTAAGATTCTCAGAACATCCACTTGCTGTTAGTCTCCCGGCGTGGCCCCTGCAAGCCCCCAGTTTGAATCCTGTCTCACAGCTATAAGCTAACCAAGGAAGCTCAGCAAAGCCACTGTTTCCTTAAGATCGGCAAACATACACAAAGATGTTGAAATATAAACATAAGCACTTGCCTGCTTCTAGGTCAATTGTGTAGCTGCACAAGACCCTGATCTTGTGCACGTTCAGACAGAAAGGGGGCCTAACATTCCCAGCAGAGGCATGTTGGGGCTTGTAGGACTTTTTTATCTGAGCTTGCACAGACTTGCAGCTTAAATTAAAGCACAGAGCTCACTGTGAACGCTTGAAAGCAGAATTAAGCGAAATAGGTGGGAGGATAACTTTCTTCAAATCCACTCATCTGCTTCAAAAAGCATCCTTGGCTTGATGGATTGGCAAAGGGGACACCAAAGAAAGAGGAAAAATCCACCCCCCCCCCGACCGCAGCTCTGAGCGCATGCCCGCTGCCCATGCAGAGTGAGGGCAATGTAACTTTCGCCCTTCCTCTGATTTGGCTTCCTCTGCTGTCCTTTTGGACACAGTGAGGTCACTGTTCCAAAAAGACGGCGCTGGAGTTAAGAAAAAAGAAAGGGCACCTGGCAGCAGGCCTGGCTCAGCAGCGCCATTACCTGAACAAAGAGAATCGTGTGTGGAGGTTATTTGGGGAAACATTATGTTCCTCTAAAGAGACTCTGCTCAGAATTAAAACATTCCTGGGCAAATTTCCATCAGAAACCTGCTTGGACATGTTATGTAAATGCAAAGAATTATCATCATAATTATAATGATGCTGTGTACTTTCTACAGGCAAAGTGGCCTGCTGTCTGCAGAAGAATGGAGACCCATAGTCCCCGACGTGCCGAAAATCCAGAATCTGGCCTCTCCTCTCCTCTCCAGAGCCTGCCACCTACCTTGCTCGCTAGAGTTATCTCCACTTTGAGAGGCGATCCCACCACTGGAGGGCCCCGGCGTTCCGGAATGCGTGGAACCCGTCTCATCGTGGTCCCGAATCCAGGAATTGTTCTACATGCAAAGAGAGCAAACATGCTGTGAAGAGCTGGGAAGAGGACCAGGCTCCTTGACTGGGCACCTGCGTTCCCCCCACATAGCCCAGGAACGGTGGCCAACAGAGCGGCAGATCAAAGGCGGGCTTTTCCGTGTGGTTCAGCAGAGGAATTCTGGTGTGCCAGTGCTTCCTTAGCCACATGACCAGCTATTAAGATAAGCCTCGTGGCTGCACAGAGAAGCTTTGCAAGGGCTGAGCTGCTAGAGGTATCTTTGCAAGAGTGCAGTGGCTAGGTATGATGCGCAGTGCAAACAGGGAGAGGCAGTATGGTGCAGTGGTCTGAGCGCAGGACTACAACTTGGGAGATCTAGTCCCAGCTTGGCCTTGCAGCTCCCTGGGCGACGTTGGACCAGTCATGGACTCTCGGCCTGACCTCACAGGGGGGTTGTTGTGAGGATTGAAGGGAGTGATGTAAGCTCTCTTAGGGTTCTCACAGGTTCTAAGCGCGATGCAAAAGCCAAAATGGCTTTATGCATCACCGAAGGAGCAGGGAAAGAGGGCACCCGCATGCATATGCTAACTTGAACCTCAAGCCGCAGCAGGTCTGAAGCAGAGACTCCACTTTAAACAGGAATGCCGGACGTCTCTCTCTCCGAGGCTCCTGCAGGCAGCCTGGGCACCTGCCCCAAAGGAGACCGGACTGTCAAATAGGCCTCACGGCCACTTGGCCCGCGGGCAACACTGACAATATCTGGCAGCCTCCTCAAGCTGGCCTCCTCCGGATGCTCTGGTTCACAATTCCCATCATTCCTGGTAACGGCCAAGCTAGCTGCAGCAGATGGGATTTCAAAACATCTGGAAGGCTGTCCAAAAAGGAGAGCCCTTTTCTCCACTCGGCTTTGGACACACGAGTGTCTCCTTCGTCGCCAGCTCATGAGCTTCTCATCACAGCCATCCCTCTCGAAAAGTGCTCTTCCCTCACCCCCATAAATGCTCGTGAGTTTTCAGTTTGTGTCCCAGACATGCCCTGAGTCTTCCTGACAACAGCCTTGCAAAGTAGGGCCACTATGAGGTCTCTGTCTCAGCTGTGGATTTTCCCAAGGGCCGCTAAGTAAGATCATGACAAAGACAAGGTCTAAACCCCAGAGGAACCCCCAGACCAGGAATGGGCTCCTGACCCCACTGGGCAGGCAGAAACTCAGCAGGTGAATCTGGTTTTCCTGGCAAGCAGATTCAGTGACAGCAACTGCTTTGCCGATGGCATTTCTGCCTGTTTCCTGGCTGCGGAAAGCCCGCCTGGAGGTGCAGGAGAGAAGGTGGCCATAACCCCACCCTGGCTTTTCCCAGTGCAGGGCCTTCCGGATCTCTTGGATGCAACGTCCTCACTCTTGGCCTTGTGGGGACTGAAAATGCAAGGAAAGAAGCCCACAGGTGCCTGGGATTGATGGGACTTGATGTGCACAACCTCTGGAGGCACCAGGCTGGGGATGGCCGCGTTGCCCAGAGTTCCCGTTTTGTCTCCAGCGTAAGCTGCCACGTCCCTCCCCATAAATCCCTTAGAAGAGGGAGGCCCGGGTTTAAAAGGGATTTCCACAATGCCTCCTCTGGGGCTGTAATTATTTTGACTCCCCCTTACCCAATTGAACGGAGTTCAAAGCGGGACACCGGGCCTCTCGGCGTCACCCTTCGAAGGAACTGCACAGCTACCAAAGGGGCTCGGATTGCAGCCCCCCCCACTTGCCGGGGGACAAAAGCCACCCCCCTGCCTCCCTGCCCTGCCCTGGGCATGCCCTGCCTGATTAACCTGGCAGGGCTGATCACAGGCGCCCCACAAGCGAGAGGCCTCGGGGTTCAAAGGGTTAAGGAGCTGCGGATTTCAAAAGAGAACCCAACACTTGTAGCCCACAATAAGCGGGAAGGGGAGGGGTCAGGGGGTCGCTGTTGCAGCTCTAGGAAGCCTAGGTAGAACACTGGCAGTTAATTAAGAGCAGATCTTGGCGCTTTTCTGTTTGGGATGCTGAAGAGGCAAGTCCGGGCCCGGCTAGGCTGGCACTCCAAAGAGCAGCGATTTGGATGGAGGGAAGGAAAAGCAACCCAAGCCCTGGGCTGCCCCGCATTAGCAGGGATTTGGAATATTAATGCTTCCCCCCCAGGTGGATTCACTGTGGCGACGGCCACACCAGGGGGGTCATTTGCTTGTCTTTTTCAGTGTTGGACCAGCCCCATCCAATCTGACAGTTTGGATGACCAAAGGGACACCATGCCTGGGGTTGATGGGAGTTGCGTGCCCAACACGAGCAGATTGTACCAGCTTTGGGGACATTGCGTTTGGATTTTTTCACCAGCCACCAGCCGCAGGAGCCAACAGAGCCTTCAGCTACCTGGTGGGCACCAGGTTGGGGAAGGCTGAGCCAATACAGAACCTCTCTATACCATGGCACTATACCTCTGATTAGAGAAGGACAAGCAGCACGGAAATCCACACGAGCAACATGGCCATGGCTTCCGCTTTACCAAGCGGCCTTTCGCTGGCTTGAGGCCGTTAGAATGCTCAACGTGCAGAAGGAAGGAAGGAAGGAAGGAAGGAAGGAAGGAAGGAAGGAAGGAAGGAAGGGCTGAACAGCAGGACTCCCACTTGGCCAAGAGTCCTCAGATGAGAGGTTGTGGGCCCTGAGGGGTCAGCTTCCTCCCCGCCATCTCGCGCTCTCCCCAGCCCTGAAACACCGGCCACCCCCATCCCCAAAAAACCCTCCACCGCTCTGTGAAGCTCCCAGCCAGATAGCCTGCAGGCAGATTAAAAATGCAGGGAAGTGGCTATAGGCAAATGAACGTGTTGACTTCATTACCAGCGAACTGTCAGGGCCGATTATTTTCCAAGGGCCAGACTCCTTTTCTTGCAAACTCATGAATGTTGCACCGGTGGAAGTGTTGTGTTCTTTTTAAAAATGGGAAAGGGGAGGATGAAAGTGATGGGCGCACACTGGGCGGGAAGGAGGCAAGATGGGGGGGGAGGTGCTCAGTGCATTGTACGTAGCTATTAACGCCCCCACCTCACTCGCTAAAATAAGGTTGCGGAGGGCTGGAAGGGGCTTGGCTGGAAGCGTCAGGAGGCAGGCGTGATCTCTCTCTCTCTCTCTCTCTCTCTCCCTCTCTCTCTCTCTCTCTCTCTCTCTCTCTCTCTCTTCTTTCCCCCACCGTTTTGCTCCTGGTCAAAAAGGTATTTAGAGAGATGCAGAATCCTGCTAAGGGCTGTGACTCAGCACACCTGCTTCACCTGTGAAAGGTTCCCCACGCAATCGCCCGCATCCAAGGCGGGCCAGGGACACCTACCTAAATGGGGCTGCAGCTTCCCTTTCGAGCATTCCCAAAATAGGCTCACCCACCATGCAGTACCATGGATAGTTCCTATAAGGCTCAAAAGAAAAGCTGCAATGGATACGGAGCCCACTGGCCTTGGAGGGGTGTGTCTCCTCGGCCAGTGTCCCCAGGTGGGCCTGGAGACAGACCCCCACCCGAAATGGTGGGCAGCTGCTGCCGGCCCATGCAGCCAGGATGGAGATGTCAGGGGCGCATCTGGAAGGCACCAGGCTGGGGGCAGCTCGGCCGCTGCGGCTCAGGCCAGATGCAACCGGCTTGACCCAAGTGTTTCTGCGGACAAATACGCATCAAGAACAGACATCACTCACTTTCTAGGGCTCCTGGAAAAAGAGGGACTTGCAACATAGCCATGAAAACCGCCCCTAAGCATCATCCAGGAAAGAAGAAATGAAAATGGGAAGCAGAAGCCATACATTTGCATCTGCTAATTTATATGTAAAGACACTGAGGTTGATGCCATGATCCTAATTTAAATACCAAGACAATGCATCTTTGCATACCGGTTGTGTTTTCATTTTTTACTCGGGGCAGCTGGTTTGCCACCATGGCACGGAGTGCTGGACTGAGCGGACCTTCGGTCTGATCCAACAGAGCTTTTCTTAGGGGCTTACGAGCCCCTTCCAAGTGAGGCGGGCAGCTATGAAGATGGTTCTTTTCTTAACTGGGACCAGAAGGGGAGCAGAAGGGGGGAAATCTCATCGTGCCTAGTAAATATTATGCCCTGGATATTGCAACACGGTTCTGAAACATTAACAGAAAGAGTGTGAAAGTCGCGGTGTGGTGGGGCAGAGGCAGGGGTGGGGCGTGTGTTTCAGATGAGTGCAAAACTTCCAGGCTGGAGATCAGTCCAAAAGAGTGAGGTCGCATAGCCAGTGTGAACATATGCTAATTAATAAAAATGTGTTTCCACAAGAAGAAAAGGGCCCATGTAACAAACCAACAAAAATCACAATTAAAATTAACAGTGCAATTAAGTCAGATCTCACTCCCTTCCCAGGGCCTAACAATGCCAGGCTTCGAGACTCAGCGTGCAAGGGTGATTCTGAAAATCCTGCCACTGCCAAGCCGCACATCTGCCGTTGCAGATAAGCATCCCGGAGGTGCAATGCACTTTTGCCTCGCACAGCATCACAGAAACACCACATCCCATATCCTTATAGCACCCCACCTTTTCTCAAGAACACTTTGCGACATCGCGGTCTTTGTTTGGGATCAGGTACAAGAAATCATGCCCGCCCTGGAGAGAACAGGCGTGATTTCTCTCCGTGCGTAAGTTGTGCATGCCCGGGCCAACAGATCATTTCCAGAAGTCCTGCGGGCAAAGAATTCCGTGGCCGCCACTGAAGCCTGTGTCCAGGGCCCCCAAAGATGGCACGGCCGGGAGCCCTACCTGGTCGGAGAGGCTGGCGCAGGAGCCGCCAAAATCCTCGAGATCTGACTTGGAACTGCCATCTCTGTCATCGATAACCAGGTCGATAGGCATCTTCCCCTTAAGGCAGGTAATGTAGCGATGGCAGAAATTGTCACAAAGGTCGTGTACCTGTGTCACATCAACAGAAAGACTGTCCAGGATTGGTTTTTTTCATCCAGCTGAACCGCTAGCTGCCAACTTTCTGCTCGCCGATTTGAGGCTGTTGCCAATATATAGGCCCCCCCCCCCTTTGAGCTGAAGTGGAGGAAAGAGCCACAGGCTTCTCTCTAGCCCATGCTCTGACCCACTGGTCCAAGACCTGCTACAAGCCCTACAAGTATTTATTTAAAACTTTGGTATGCCGTCACCACATGCCTCGGCATCTCGGGACGGCTGACAACACATACAATTAAAAACAATAAAGCAATAACCAATTCCATAAAAGATTATATAAAACCGAAAACAAAAAGAGCGACTGTTAACGATAGAATATTAGTTTTTAAAAGAGCAATTAAATAAAAAGGTTTTAACTTGGCACCGAAAAGAATATAAACTTGGTGCCAGGCACACCTCTCCAGTACCAAATAGAGCCCTAACCCCAAAGCTTTGGCACCATGGATAGCTCCTTAAAGATCAGGCTAAAATCCAGAGTGGATACACAGCCCATTGGCACTGGGATTACCAGCCTTCCCATCTCTGACCACAGTTTTATTCATCAGTTCAAGATGTTGCTGGAGAAAAACAACCCCCTCCCATTCATTAATGGAGGGCACAATCCAATGGAGAATGTTATTGTTTTAAAACTCTTTTGCTGAGAAGTTTCCACCAAACGGCACTGCTGGTGGCCCAGAACTTCTATCTGGGTGCCTCCAACTCTGCAATCCTTCATGGCCTCATTCTCCTTCCCAACATACCATTCCCACATACGCATCTGCAGCCAGGTATTGCAGAATCCAGGAAACACTGTTGAATTCTGCTGACCGTCTAAATTAGCACTGAGAACCCAGGAATGGCAGCACAACCATGAACTGGGGGATAAAACTTGGTTACAGCCATCCTTATTATTTCTAATTCTTCACCAGTTTTCAATATGCTTTCAAAGCTTCTCCTGGAACACTGAGGTCTAGAAACCTTGGAAGGCTTTGTTAAGGACAGCTGAGATTGCCCGAGCTCTAAAACCACAGCTTTCACACAGATGCCTCATGGGACATGTTGCTCACATCATGCTGTTTTGGGGCCTAATCCCATACATGGTTAGGCAGAAAAAAGCCCCGCAACTTCCAGCATGGGAGTTTCACTCTCCAGCAAAAAAAATAAAAAATAAAAATTTAACTAATAAAAAAACAGGTGATGTGCAGGAGACTGATGAGCCTGGAACATCCCGTATCTGTGCATGCCACAGGCATGGACCGAAGCTGCGAGCCACGTTCTCCAGGGCTGGATGGCTGCAGCGATCCCCGCCCCTCACCTCTGTCTCCCAGCTGTCCTTTCATCTCCCCATGGCCTACCTCTGAACCGACAGAGCATCCCGCCCTGCGCCAGCCCTTGCTCCCTCTTCTGAACTCATGGTGCTTTTCATCCTTTACCCAGGAAAAAGGATTAAAACCCCAGTTTTGAGACTCTTCACAGCGGGTGCCCACTGTGCGAATCAAAGGGTTAATTATCACATTGACAAGGGATTTCATCAGGTTACAAACACGGGGTTTATTGCACGGTAACGAGCTCATTACGCTGGCAAGGAGGATGCCTTTCTCCTCCCTCCCCCCCGCCTGCCAAGGTCGGGCCCTGCAGAGGCCAGGGATGGTATCATGGATTCCTTACCCATTCCTTGCGGAAATGGGGAAATTGTGAGAGATTTTTTCTCCGTAGCACCAGTCCCCTTCCGCCTAACCCAGCATCTGAGCTGTGCCACATCAGAGCAGAGGTGGGGCTCCCAGGAGCGCAGGTGCCTCCTTCCCACAACTGCCCAGTCAAATAGAAATCTAGCATGTCAGGGGAAAGAAGAACCTTTTCTTACACATGTGAGATTTCTATCTGCGGGGGTTTAGCTGCATTGACTCATTCACTGGAGAGGATGGGGGGGGGCACATCCTGCGGTCCCACACCTTCACCCTGACACCCCAGACAAGGTTTGCACCTCAGGGAGAACCAGGCCTCAGTTTGTCAGGTCTGGATTTCAGAAGTTCTGGCCCATCAGAAAACTGCCTCTGAATTTGCCTTCCAGGAAGGCCATGATTTTTAATTTTGTTTGAGACACAGACCAGAAGCCCAGTGCCTTTGAGTTTGCACTGGGTACCTTTTTTCTGGTGAATATTGGTTTCCTCAAACAGATTAAAATAAAATAAAATAAAAGTATTGTTAGCACTCCTACCTCTGGAGCAGGGATTGCTTCCAACATCAGAAATAATTAAATGATTATTTAAAACAAACATCCATACCTTCTCTAATTCCAGAAGGTGGAACCTCAGAACTTGAATAGCTTGGATCATCTGTAATTGCAAAGAAAACAACACATTGCGACAGCATGATGAACGGATCGGGGCCCATCTCGCATTTCCAAATGCTGGGAACGAGCCTCTCTGGATACGATGATGTATTTCTGAGTAAACCTGCAGAAACTCAGTCCATGAAACAGGTGGGCAACTGACTTCTTATGTCCACATTCAAGCATAACCCAGGCAAATTCAATGCAGAAGCTCTGCCAGATCGGTTATCTCAAAATTCTCATGCTTTTCAGCCTCCCCTGATGTCACCCCACATGCTTAGGGCAGAATGCAGTCCCAGTTGCTCTGGGAGACCTCTCAGCCACCCCTGCTTTGCTCTGCGAAGCCGGGAAAGAGGTAAGATGTAACACACAGCGGTTCATACATGAAGTACATGGTCCCGCAGGAAGGAAGCTGTGCTCATTGCAGATGGGCTTGATTTTAAAGTGGGTTGATTACAAATATCCTCTCCATCATTACATTCTCATCAGACACATTCCCCATTAGGGAGCGTGCCTACACAACAGCCCATCAAGGTAGGCTGCTGTTAGTCGCCCATTTTGCAGATGCAGGAGGGAAAGGCCGAGAGGTTCAGGCTCTCCTAAGGCTTCCAGGTGTGTCATTCCAGAAAGCAAGAGCTGCACTGGTGCATTCATGGCTCTTGGCTCCTCAGGATAAACAAAGCCGAGTGCATTGTCCCTGAGGGGAAGGTCCCAGGAGCTGCAGAGGCCCCGGGTGGTCCATAAGCTGCATTTGGCCACTGGTGGCCAATGGCTTAAATAATGTTCTTAGACACACACCAATAATCTCGGGTTCGGTGGACACAGGTTTGAATGGGGGATCGTTGCAAAGAAAGAAAGAGACAACCCTGCAGGCCCGTGAGAACGGGGCAAGGGGGCCCGGCTGACATGGAACCATGCATGTCTTCTAAACATGACAAGCAGCATTCACATTTTAAAGCAGCAAAGAAAGACGTGCCCTTACCAAATTATCCAGCTCAGGATTGGAAGAAAATAGAGGTTTTTCTGTCCTAACCTAAAAATAGACATTTGGGAGTGGTGGGGGGGGGGGGTAAGAAGGGAGGAAGAGAAGAAAACAGAAGACGCATTAGTAGGAGGAAAACATGATAGAAGGAAGAATAAGATGCGCGCCGCTGAAAAATCTGTTTCTCTCATTTCCCAGAAACTGTAAAGAAATGGCAAAACATGCGACTCTTGTCCCAGGAGACTTTCAGCTGGCAGGAGTATGTATATTTCACTTTCAAGAGTTGGAGACATCCCTGTTTCTCCCTCCAGCAGCCCCCCTTGCTTTTAAAATTCTTCCACATTTCTCCTCCCTCTTCCAAAAGGCAAGGTCAGTTCCCCTCCATATGTCTCCTTTACAGAATGAAAGAGGCAAAATTCCAGCAGTAAACAGTTTCAAAGCACCAAGCAGATCCAGCCTGAGCTTCATGCATTCAGTTCCCAACTCTGGGAATTCAAAAATTTGGTACCTGAGTGAGGCCTTTGGGTGGAGCACAATGCGATTTTTGGAAGCAAAGCCCCGGTGGAGCAGTTCTGCAGGAAAAACCATTTTGCACCTCTGGGGAGCACTAGGTTGGGGGCACCTGAGCTGAGCATTTAGGCACATGTACGTATATATATATATATATGGGGAAGAAAAAGAACCACACATTTCCCGTTTGCCTTTCTGGCAAATGGCTCACAGGAAAATAGCTCTGTCCCAGCAAATTTTCTAATTTCTAGCACTGCCTCATGGACACAAGGCACACGGATAGCGCAAACGATGCCGTGAAAAGAGTGAAGGTTTATTTAGAATGGAGATGCTGTCGGCGCAGGACCCTTTCTTGGCACGCCAGCCCTCTGTCCCAGGTTGTCTCCCCCAGGGTCATTTCTCCCCACAGGGTCATGTGCCCCTCCACATGCTCTGGATCCAGAGGATACACTTCACGGCAGTGGGGGCGCGGGGCGGGGGGAGGTTGGATAGAGAAAATGCAGGGCAAGGGGAAGGGGTCCGCTCCCAGGCTGTATCTTCACTCTATATTCTTTACTCCAGGTTTTTTTGGTCACCTGCCCACCTGCCCCCCCCCAAAAAAAACCCAAGAAAGGCCTGGACTCAGCAGTACAGGTCTTGGCATGTGCGGTGTCCCCCGTGCTGCCTGCTTCGCCTGCGGGGCGACTCGGGTGAGCTGGCCCACCCTCTGCACCGACTTGGGTTGAGGGATGAAGAAATCGGCCCTCCGGCTCTGCTCAGTTCCTCGCATGAGCAGATTGGGGCGCTTGTCCAAGCACGGGAGGCTGTTTCCAAGGGAAGCCCCCGAATGCGGGAAGCTGGGTGGACGCGCCTCAGCGCGCAGGTCTCCCGGTTTCCTTTCCCACCAGGGCAGGCCTTTCCTCAAGCGAACGGGCCTGAATCCCCCTTTCAACTCTGTGCTGAAACCAGGGAGGATGGTGCATGGATGGGCCAGAAGGAAGATAAAGTGCGGCTGCGGGTAGAAAGTTTGCGCATGGTCGGGAGCTGCTTGTCTTCCGGCAGATGTACCCAAAGGGCCGCCCTTCCCTCTTTCTTTTGCTTTCCACGGGCCTCTTGGACTTTCCTTTCACTCTCTCCCAAGGGATCTTGCTCAAGAGGAAGAGAAACGTCCCCCCGAAACGCTGCGCATTACAAGAAGATGCAGTTGGGAGAACTCCGTTCCGTCCTTCCCGCCAAGCTCGGGGGGGGGGG